AAGTAAGAATCCTATAAACTCCAACAATCAGTTGACTTTTCCACGTGGCAGATGGCAATGTATTTCCACAACTCTAACGATAGCAAATAAAGGAATGTCCTCGCAACCTAACTTGCAATTGTTTCCATTTGATATTTCAGTCGTTCATAGCTGAATCATGGTCATGATCCTTTGAAATGAGATGTTCCAAAAAAGTCACATTTTGTGTGTTTTTCGGAGACACTTTTTCCGTCTTCTGATTCTAAATCAGTTTCCTTAGTCCCTTGTAGTGTGTAACTTTCACTGGTTAACTCTAAATCTGCCAATTGAAGTTGCATTTCCACAGTCAATTTTCCTAACGTTTTACTAACCTTCAAGTTTCTGACCCTCTGAGGTCAAAGTAGCCTTTGAAGGCTCTTAAATATTTCTTGTTATGTAGTCCGACGGGACTTCTTCTGTCAAAACATCAAGTTTGTTAGATTTCAAAGCAAAAGTTAAGTGCTTTGTGAAGTGATAAACTGCACTCTTGTTTTGATTTTTAAAGTATTCATACAGATTGACTCAAACTGGTTACTTTTGCTTATGTTTACTTTTACTGTGGAATCTTTTCTGTCTGAAAGATGAGACAAAAAACATTCATGAGATTGATTTTTTGAATGATTTCCTGTTCCAAAACTGCAGGCAATAAAGCAACTTTCAAGGCAGGTTTGCATGTATATCCAGGCCTTTGCTATTACTTTCCTTAAAGGTATTTTTATTTAAAGGGAATCCATAAACTTTCCCAAAGAGCAAAAAAGTGCTGATGTTTTAAAATGGCTGTTTTCTATACATTAAGGAATTGCACAGAAATTGGGGTGATTTTCTTTTTAACTTATACATGTAGATTTTTCAACAGAGTATGCCAATCAATATACCCTGGTGTGTCCTGAAGAGCCATACTGCTCAGTGACTTGGTAGACAACGTGGTAGCAATCTGCCTGTCAGTATCTGTAGAAACTATGGCATCTGATGACACGGGGTTAGCCTGTCCCGTACTCCATGCTAAATTTAATTGAAGTTTTCATTAATTCATGCACTTTACAATTACATCCTCATGTATTGCTCTCATAAACCCTTACAATCTCATGGCAGTTTGGTGTACACTGGTCTACATAATCACAGATATTGCACATGCTCACATGCTAACG